GTTACGATATTGTGATGGGTGTCAATCGGATCTATTGAAGTACTCGTAATTTTTACATCGGGATACAATTGGCTAACATCAGAACCCATGTCGTGAAACCGCTACACATTTTATCTTCTTCATAGAGGCTCGGTTGCGCCGGCAACGCTAGCGATGCCGTGGTGCGTATCTACTGTGTGTCACACACACCATCATGCTTGACAACGCTGTGGTAATTATTCTTGAAAATGTGACGACCAATGATCCTGCACGAGAACTATTCCGTCTCCGTCAATCAATCGATAGAACCGTAATTGTACCATTTCCCATAGCGTTGAATGAAGAAATGCATGAGCCCATTGCTACAACTTGCGGGTTTGCAGTACTGCTACATTAAACCAGTTTACATGAACCTGCCATTGTGCTTGTTCGTGATAGTCAGGATATTGACTTAGACAACGTCGTGGTGATGTTGTCGTTATGCACGATACAAGCCGACCTATGTCGCTCCGCATTGCAGCAGACAGTTAGACTGGGTCAGGCAAATGAACGATGAGGTAGCTCTTCCATTACAGTGCATTAGAGAAACGAGAACATCATGGGGGTAAGGTCAGCTACGGTACAAATCGTAGTCACGGACGTAGCCAACATAAGGGCCACACATGTCAGGCTAGTCGATATGTGCTATAGACTGCGCTACGCTCGAGCAAGTGCAGCGTGGTCGCCAGCATTCCTCCGCTGAACGTCAACGATATTATTGCATGTGGAATGACTGCCTCTGTAGGAAGATGGCCGAGGCAACACCGGCAAGATGATGAAAACAGGTGGCCGATTCTCGGTGGTCTATGTCGACTGGTCTTGATGGGAACACATCCAGGAACGGTGCCACATGACGAAAGTGTGCGTGTATGGTCGTCCTGCTGATTCCGATTGTTTACAGCTTTCACGCAAATCTCATGGCACTTTGTTGATCGTTGGCGAAAAACGTGTCAACCAATGATCACTCGATACATTCAGTAGCCGCTATTGTCAAGCGCTGAATGACACGAGGGGTAACGGACGGGCCACGTTATCGAGTCAACATGGAGTTGAGCATGTTGGTTTGCATGTCTACTCATAGCCGCGCATCATCTGCGTGAATGCTAGCTCGTTCGTGGTGTCGCGTACCCAACTTTGCGTTCATGTTTCCCAAATAAAGATCACATCTTGAACAAGTAATGGAAACGAAGGTGTGTTCGCCTACGCTAGTGACCGATCCTGACCGCTCGGTCGCTTATCGATGATATTTGGCCACACGCAGATGCTCCATCTGACTGCGCGTTGCGTTGTGCGGTGCCGCGGCTATTGTCGATCTCCATCGATGAACACAGCAGGCGTTGCTGTGAATGTCGTACACAGCGACGATACAAAACCGAAGGCAAAGTACGTTTCAATCAGCGATGCTTTACTTTCGCAGGACATTACAGTATCCTTCGCGACGCATTCAAACGAGGTCGTGTTCTACCTGAACGTAAGCTGCTAATCAAAGCCCGAACGTTAGCCGACAACAGGTGCACTCGAACCCCGTGCTTTTGCTTCACATACCTAGTGTCAATCATCCCGTCCGGCCCTCGGCTCTTTCGTTTCCGAACACATCCTACATCCTCTCGTGCGTTACATTAGCTCGTGAGCTTGTCTGCAAGAGCTCGCGCTGCGTCTGCTTGAGCCCGTGACCAGTCGGCTAACGTTTGAGCTGCTTCCGCTCGCGCTTGCGCGCTCTCGGCCTGCGCTCGCGCAGCTTCCACCAATGCTTGAGCAGCTTCGGCTTGGGCTTGAACGGCTTGGGCTTCAGCCTGAGCGGCTTCTGCTTGCGCGTTGGCCGTTTTGGCCATCTGTTGCGCTGCTTCTGCCACTGTTGTAGCGCCCAGTGGCGTAGCGGGCGGCGGCTTTGTCACGTGGTGCATCCTCATTGCTGCTGCCGCCAAAGGAATACCCACCCGACAGTTGCGTCGCACTCACTCGAGCACTTTCTCACTCGGTCCGTCAACGACGACGACGTATCGCTTTGCTGTCTAATCAGCAACTGCACCTGCTACACGTTCTCTTGGTTTTCATCACACCTCCTCGTCCCCTGTGACGTTTTTTAGCTGCTGCTGCTGCTGCTTGAAGCGATGGGACGTGCGTACACATTCGCCCCGTTCGACGCGACGATGCCCACCGTTTCCCACATGTAGCCATCCGACCCGACCTGCTGCTGTAAACGGATCGTGTGACTTGCGTCGTGTCAGTTAGGATGGAAGAAAGAACCAGACGCTCGCTTCGATGTGCTTCTTCCGAGCTGAATCGAGCGCCGAGTGTGGTTTCTCACGCTTTGTCGACAGATCGAGTGTACCGATTGCAGACGAACGTCGGATGACGTCCTGCCGCTCGTGCGATACTGCAGTAGTTGTCGCACGAGCCGTCTCGGAACGAGTTCTTCGGCTGAGAAACTCGGATGCTGTATCCCTGCAATCGCGAGCGAAGTGATCGACTGCATGACGGTCCATGGTGAACGACTCGAGTGCGTTGCAAAGACTGTAAATCCTGCGGCGCAAGAGGCTCCGAGGTCGGTGTGCATTTTGTAGCGGCAGCGTTCGAAGCCACAAGGGGCTCGGCTGTGAGAGGCAGCAACAGATGGATCTGCTTGTAATCAGTGGCCTGCCGCGCATCTGGTAACAAGCATGCCAGAGTAACTTGGATTGACAAGGCAAACCCTTCATCCTTCACCCACACAGAGAGTGCAGCACCTTAGCCATGACAGATGAGCTGGACGCTGTGTGGTCGTCGATTAGCACAAACATTCTGTTGCACTCATGCTTCTGACATGCTGTCTTTGGGTACGAGTGGTGAGAGGAGAGGTTCTGAGCCCAAACGCATGGATCGCGCACCATTGTTGTGTTTGCGCAACCATAGACCCCAAGGAGGGTCAAGGTTCGTACGGACCATCGCATGCATTGATAGCAGCGGCACCTACTCCCTCAGACCGGTGCACTCGCCATCCAAGTCGGGCGTTCGTCAAGAGTACACCCAAGGTCTCGCGAGCGCTGATGACGAGTGTATCTGCGTTCTACCAAGTGGGTGCAACGCCACAGTAGCTTGCCGCAGACTACGTATGACTTTGCCATCGTCCGTGTTTCCTCGTTGCCGGACAGACGCTGCAGCGGCCATGGTCGACTCACACCAAGATCTAGCCACGAATCATTCACAAGCTCTGGTGTATGGACACAAACTTGCCAGTTTGAGCTGCATCAGCGACGGATGACGCACGAGCAGCACCGAAGTTTACAAAAGCATCACCGTCTTGTCAGGTGTGTTCCATTTACACATCAATAACGTTCTCATGTGCCATGTCCTCGTACAACACGTCAGCGATGCCCCACACATCGAAGGATGCACTTTTACCAAGTAGATTTTTGTGCCTTGTTCGAAGCATGAGCGTAAAAAAAGGGTGGACAGTAGTGTCTTCTATTGCCACGTTGGGCAATCGTGTCGCCTTGCATTGCTGTAAGCGTCTTCATGTAAACGGAGGGCGAGCTGATGACATCCCTTTAGTCGCCAGAGCCACCGCCATAATTTTGTTTATACTCGTCGAACCCATCGTTGCTGGTGGCACATTCGACCATATCTCGCTAGCTGCGTATCCATCTAAACCCTTCGTAACTCTTGTAAATTCACTAGATCGACCTGAATGATACTCCCGACGCTCGTGTGCTTAGCGGCAATATACTGTGCCTAGCAGCACCTGCTCACACATAGCAGCCCACGCACTTTCAAGCTCGAAATTTACCGAGATTGTATCTCCACGTCAAAGCCATTTCGTTCCACAGCCACAGAAAAACGAGACGAAAGTCAAGCGCTTCTGGTAGATAAGCGCATGCAAGTGCATCATCATTGCTACGGTAGTGAGCTCAGCAAAATCGATCGTGGCGATTAAAAAAGCGAGATAAGTGCTTGTGCAGCGTAGAAGCCAAGGTGACAAAATCTCGAAGCATACGTCGAGACGAGATCCGACATTCAGTATCCACAGAAACTCTTGCGCCAACGAAAGACGTCTAGAAGAAGGCCGAAACGTGGGCAACCTCGAACATCGCCGCACGTATTGAGGATCGTCGTGCACGCGGCACGACGCACCAAAAAAAGCTGCACCGACCACCGACCGATAGTGCTCGAGCACCAACCAGCGGGCGCAGCCGAGGAGCATAAGTCACGAGGCATGAGTGCAACCAGCTCGACTGAATGTGGCATGATCTGGCCCCAACAAGTGACAGCTCGAATGTCTTACGAACACAAAGCAGCATTTACCTTGTCGAAGCTACGGATATGCCAAGCTGAGCTCACAAGGGCGACACATGACGCCAGGATGAAGCTGCTAAGGTCACCAGCCGCTACACCACGCTCCACCGACAGCGTGAACGAGTCCGACAAGTGTAACTTTGTCCAAGAAGTGTAATCACAGACCGAACAACATCGCACCTCAAGAAGCACTTGATCGACCGCCGAAACGCAGAACGCGGACCGATTCCAGCACTCAGTGCCCAGCAGGTTGCTCTGTCCGCACACTTTCACCAACAAAGTGCTTCACATGTGACAACAAGGACCTGCACGTCCTCGAACTGAAGTTGCGGCACCACCGGCATCATCTCTTATACGTGTGAAGTTCATCGATACCGCCAGTGTCGAGGGGTCATAGCATAAACGCCTGTACCAGGACCCTCTTCGCACTTTGCGGAAGTCCTGCATGTTTTTTCGCTGATCAGCAAACAGCGACAATAGCAGCGGGACTCAAGCATCAGGTGGCGGACCATCCCAAGCAACTTCCATAGTCTCTTCACCATGTCACACTAGACATGGAATATATTACTTTCCACGCTAGCTATGAGTGAGTTTTTGCGTTTCTAATCAGACCACCGAAGGAGACGTCGAGTCCCAGACGCTGCCACGTTCTTCGCAAGTGTTGCAATTCATCAGGTCACGTCCTTCGCGAAATGTTGCTGTTCATCAGATCATGGCTTCTCCTGCAGCGCAAGTCGATGGTACTGGGTCTGCTGGAAGGCCAAGCTGTGGTGGCGGCTGTATCCAAAGTACACAGCCACGGCTAGCAGCAGCCAGAGTACGACAAGCAGAACGGTCGTGCCGTCCATTTGAGCAAACAAGAACCAGTTGAAAAAGATGGCGACACACGGTGTGAACGGCACGAACGGTGCTCGGAACGTCGACGCTGCTTCATCAGCTTTGTCTTCTTCGCGTCCTGCTTTCAACGACGGAACCATGTGTCCACTGCTTTCACTGCTGTCCTCTGTGGCCCCACTACAAAGCGATTGATCTTGCTCGGGACAACAAATTGATTCAGATAGCTCAACTTCGGACTTAATATCACTGTCTTCCATCTTCACGTCGTCCTCACCACATACTCGATCGAAAGAGCCGCTCTCATGACGACACTTGCGTTGATCTGTTCCAAATAACGCTTGACGTTTCTCCAAAGGTACATCAGTCGCCACAGAATCCTGGGCGTGAGCGTCTGGACGTGCCTTCGAAGCAACGCTTTGCGTCATTTCAATGTCGCTCAGTGCAAATGTGAGTGCAATAGCGACTATGGTGAAGAGAGCAGCCGCAAAGGGCCCCACTGCCCGCATATAGCGATCAAACATTGGAGCATTGGTCGCAGCCGAGAGCGAGGCGCTCGCAACCACACCTTTTTGCCAGTGAAACGCGGCTAGGAACGAGACAACAAAGAATGCCCCAATCAGCGCACCAGGCGAAGCCTTGGCCGGCCATGCTGCCTGCGCCGCCTCGAGGTCCGTGGTCGGCACGCCAGCGCTCTTTGCCGTGCGAACCAAGAGCAACGAGCTGTTGGTAAAGTTAAATGCCACGAGAATACCGAGCGATATGACGTTCCAGAGCACGTGAAAAGGCACAAAGACAGCGAGCACTGTCGCGCCCAGTCCACTCAACAGCGTGCCGCGAAACAGCGTGCCGTGTGCGTCCACGTCGGCAAACACTTTGGGCAGCAGGCCATCTTGTGCCATGGCATAGAGCACCCGCGGCTGCGCGAGGAACGCAATGAACGACGTGATGGGCATCGTCAGCACTTCGCCCACGGCAACAAACGACGCGGCCCAGTCGAGGCCTACGCTCGTGAACGCCGCGCCAAAGGCTTCGTCGGCGTCAATGGCCGTGTACTTTTGCATGCCCACGAGCGCCAACGTCGCGAGCACGCTCAACGTCGCGGCGCCCAGGATCGTGCCGACGATCGCGCGGGGAATGTTCGTGGCCGGGTCCTTTGCTTCGGCTGCGAGGCAACAGACTTCGTCGTAGCCAATGTAGCCGAAGAAACTCGCCGACGCGCCGACCAGCACGCCGGGCCAGCCGAACGCGACGGCGGGCGAGGCGACGGCGCTGTCCGGACTCGTGCCCGTGGGCTGCGCGTCGGGCACAAAGGGCACGAGGTTCGTCGCGCGGCAGTGCCAGAGCCCCACGACGATGATGAAGACCACGACCGCAATCTTCGTCATGGTCACGACGTTCACGAGCAGTTTGTTGGCGTCCATGCCGCAGAGCCCGACGGTCATGCACGTGGCGACCAGGAGCCCGGCGTAGACGTCGACGACCGAGTCCGGCGACGACGACATGCGGGTGAGCCACACTGGTGGATCTCCGCTAAAGTACGATTCGATTAAGTGCGACACCTTGGCGCTCCAGCTGCGCGCCCCGCCGGCGCTCGACACGCCGTACTCGAGCGTCAAGAGAAAGCCGGCGAGGAGCGCCGGCAACTCGCCCAGGGCGTGGTAGGCGTAGGCGTACGTGCTGCCGGACGACGGAATGAGGCACGCGAGCTCCATGAAGCTCAGGCCGCTCAAGAGGCAGCCGAGGCCCGCGAGGAGCCACGACAGCGTTGCGGCGGGCCCTGCGTAGCGACTGGCAATGAGCCCGGCAATGGCAAAGACGCCCGAGCCGACGGTGCCGCCGATGCCGACCATGAGGAGGTCGAAGAGGCCGAGCGTGCGGCGCATCTCGACGGCGGTCGTAGCCGCGGCGGTCGTCGTCGTGCCATTGTCGTGGGGCGGCAACGACGCGGGGCGCAGGGGCTTGCGCCACAAGGCGAGACGCAGCGCGGACATGGCGGAACGGCGGGTGGGGGTCTTCGCTTAGGTACGAGTTGCTGTTGACGTGCGGTGGTTGCTGTTGTGCGTGCACAGAAACGAGACGCACGTGGGCATCGGAAGCGCGGCGTGAGTGAGGAGACTGTTTTGTCGATGGTGGGGGTAGGGGGGGTAGGGGTGGGGAGTATTGCTTTTTTGTGTTTTTGGGTAGTGTGCGTGGAGAGGTCGGCATTGCAGCGTCGAGTGCAGGCGATAAGAACAGCGCGGAGGACGAAACGTCACAAAACCGACGCTCTTTTTTTCGTCGACGGCTTTTTGTGTGCGTCCAGTATGCCGTTTGACAGGTGTATTTGTCTCGTTCGGTCGAAATGGTCCCCCACCCCCCACCCTTATCTGCTAGAAACGCACAGCGCTTGACTCAATAGGTACGCATCTTGTCGCTCCCGCACCGTCGTCTTTTCCGTCGATTCAGAGAGACATCCCCCAGCACTACCAGCACCAGTAGCACCGTCAATAGCACCTATTAGCACCATGACGAAGGACGTGCTGTGCATGAATCCGGGTCCTATCGAGTTTGAGCCGCGCGTGCTCCAAGCTTTCGCCATGGAAGGCATTTCCCACGTGGACAAGACCGTGATCGAAGTCTTTGGCCAGTGCCTCGAGAAGATGCGCAAAGTTTTTCTTGGCGCCCGATGGCCAGCCTCTTATCGTGGCTGGATCGGGGACACTTGGGTGGGACATGGTGGGCGCGAACCTAGTGAACAAGGGCGACGACGTTTTGGTTGTCAACAACGGTAAGTACGGTTTTTGGTGCCCTTTCTGATTGGTGGATAAACGACAACTCACGGAAATGAACGCACGCGATGCGTTTGAACAGGATACTTTGGCGACCATTTCGGCCAGTGCTTGGAACGGTACGGCGCAACAACGACTCACGTTCGCGGCGAGGTAATTCGAAATGACAGGATATTTGTTTCGGGAGGAAGCATTGCAAACGAAAAACGCTGACCAATTCTGAGCACTTTGGTATACTGATTTGGTTCGATGATTGTAGATTGGCTCGCAGGCTTCAATCCTAGAGCTGGAAACAGTGCTGCAGCGTGACATCCAGTTCAAAGTCGTGGCCGTCACGCACGTTGACACGTCAACGGGTGTGTGTGCTCACGTGCAGGAGATTGCAGCTGCGATCCGTCGATTGCAGCCGGATGCTGTCATTGTGCTCGACGGGGTATGCGCTACCGGCGGGGAAGTTACTCGCATGAAGCAGTGGGACATCGACGTGGTGCTTACGGGGTCCCAAAAGTGTATTGGCGTGCCCGCTGGTCTGAGTCTGCTGGTCATACGCCCCCGTGCGCTGCAGTTGTTTGAGAACAACACGTCGACGGTCAAGTATTACGTGGATTGGCGCAATTGGCTGCCGATCATGAAGAACTACGAAGCGCGACAGCCAAGTTACTTTGCAACGCCGTCTGTGAACCACTTGTTCGCTCTGAATGAGGCGCTGGATATTCTGCTGGAGAACGGGGGCATGGAACAGCGCTTCAATGAGCACAAACTCATTGGAGACGCCGTGAAGGAGGCCATGACGACATTGGGCTGCTCGCTCGTGACCGCGGACGGCTGCGGGGCGAACACATTGACTTGTGTACGCTATCCTATTGGTGTCGGTGCGGCCGACTTTTTGCCAAAGGTTGTGAAGCGTGGCGTGTCGCTCGCGGGCGGCTTGCACAAGGCCATCAAGACGGAGTACTTTCGTATTGGCCACATGGGCCCAAGCACGCGTCGACTGGACCATATTCTGAAGACAGTGGACGCGATTGAGGGTGCGCTACTCGAGTGTGGTCACAAGGTGGCGCAACCCGGGAAAGCGGCTAAGGACCTGAGGACGAAGCTCGCGGCAGTCGTTCCTCTGCGTCCCGTACGTGATCAACCTGTGGTTTCCCACGGTTGCCCCGTGCCTCCGATGTGCCAGGTGTACTCTATCGGTGCAGTGGTCGTTGCATTTGCAGCTGGACTTATGATCTCGCAGCTGAAGCGTTCAACCCATTAGGCGATCACTTTGGGATAGCAGCGGAAGTATGGACAGAAGTTGCATGCTCGTGGTACATTCGAATAGCACTTGACGCTATGGACGTGTGTGTCCGTGGAGTGGCATCCACGAAAGCAGAGTGAGCTGTCTTTTGCTGCACGTCATAATGATCTTTTGCGCAGATAGTCCGTAGTGGAGATCTTGCAGGGCAGACGTCGTTGGCATATAATGGAACTGCCCGAAGTTATGACCAAGTGCAAAGTCAGGAGCGGACTGAATGATACGCAGGCTCTTGCGAGGTCGGTCATCCTACTCAGTCATGTGTGTGCCCACATGTCCTACACGTTTGCACTTTGAAAAGTACCCCACACTTTCGGTAATTACACAGCGACGCGGATCAGATCGATCAGTGTTTTGATCGACCTAGAAATAGATCTGCATTTGCAGATCTAGAAAGCGGTCCACACGTCCTCGATTTCGGGCGCTAAAGAAAGTCGACGCAAAGACGACATGTCGGATCACTGACGTCGTATACTTAGCTGCGACATTGAGACCAGCTCACAGCTCGACTTGGACGGGCAAAGTAGTCGCACGTAACATGCCGGCCACCAAATTCGACAACGCGGTATGTCATCGACCTCCTCTGTCTTCCACACAAACTCTGCTGTCGTCTTTACATCTCGTCGATGCTGTCTGTCAATGTATTGCTACCGTCTGATCACTAAGTAGGAATGTGCCAAGCTGCAGCGTGAATCGCTCAATTGCGTCCTCGGTACGTGGCCTCTCTCCTGTATCCACTTGATCGCTCTGGTTCCTCCATTGTCCCACTTGACCCCGTCGTTTCGTATCCAGATCATGAAGAGGACAAAACGGTCTGCCAGCCCTTCTTCGACCGGTACAACAAGTGTCTGAAAGACCGTCGCGAGCGTGAAACCGCAGAGCGCAGAGCGCGACGTTCTACCGGATAATCTTCGGGCCGTTGTGGCATCGTGGCCGGCCCTGCGTCAGTAGACCAATCGACCACAGCGCTACGTGAAGAATACAAGTGACTTGCTCGCTGACGCTACATCGTCGGCAGCTCCTTGACACCCGCCTCCTCGTCAGTCTCCAAACCAACCAGACCCAGCACGACTTTCGGTCGCTTCTCCATGCCGTCGGCGATCTGGTTGATGCCGTCCATTGCAATGCGTTTACGTGTCACCCACGCAGTCTGTTCACAATCGACACGGTGAGGAATGTTACACCGCGTCGAACCGCCAAACCAAACACGAATACTGTCGCACGCCGATGGATACGTACGCGGTATTGCGTAAACTTGCGCTTGAGAGCATCTTTTCTGCCAGGAGACAGAGGAGCTCGGCCTTGTTGATCCAAGGTCGCCACCTTCTTCTCCAGAGCCGCTGCTTCCTCGTCAAGTTGCTTCAGCATCGTATCCAACTCGATGTCCGAGACCTGCGAGGTAATACCCGCCAACGCAGTCTCTGCGTTCTTCAGCTGCTGCTCGAGACCAGTACATTCTGCAGTCACCGTCTTGATCTGCTCCTCCAATGCCGCTCGCTCTTCCTCTGACGGCACCGGCAAGTTGTCCTGGTTTACAAAGTAGACCTTTGCCTTGCCGTATGTCTTGCTCACGAGCTCTTTCCTAGCTCACCACAACACCATTCACACCGACACATTAGAACGTGCACTATCAAACACATTACGGCATCGACTCTCGTCGTACTTGGCCACCAGGTTGTCCAGCAGCGTCGTCAAAGACGACTTGGCAATGGCGCGGTGCATGTTCTCAAACACATTCAGCAGACTGTACGGTCGATTGGTCTGTCCCGTCCCGAAAAAGCGATCCCATTGCAACGCATCAGTCTACAGCCGCTGCGTTATTGCAATAGAATACAAACACAATACACAATGTCCAATCAACAAATTAGACAGACCTTGCGCATGTAGTCGAGCACGGCAGCCTCTGCCTTTGCTGCTGTCATCGCCGTTGGCTTCGGAGGTACCACAGACTGTACAGTGACCAGTGCTTTTTCCTTCTTCGTGTGTGCAGCTGTCGCAGGCCGGGAACCGCTCTCCACTACCGACCTCAACTTTCTCGCGTCTTTTGATCGAACGCTTTTGGTGTTGGCCCGTGGAGATTTCTTGCGACCTACAGCCGCTTTCTTCATATTGGACAGAGCTTTTGCGTCAACGTCCGACACGTCACTTGCAACAGAAACGACGTCGTCTTTTTCCGATCCACTGTCCTCGTCGTCCTCATCGGCTTCGTCTTCATCGAACGCAGACGATTCAGCTTCCAAGGAGTCCTCACCCAGCGAGAAGTCGTCGTCGTCGTCCACGTCACTCATGGCGAGCGAAAAGGGCAGGAGGAGAAAGCGATAGCGATAGGACGACGAGAGGGATCGGAGTTGTAGGATGGACGTCCAGGACGACTACGGAAGGACGACGTCCTGCGACAGCTGAATTGACCGCACGAGAAGCGTCCTATAGTTTCCCCCTAGTTCGTCTATCTTGCTCGTAGCATGCAATCACCCAGGTTAGGTCCTACCTACAACTATAGGTTCATGCCGCGCTGCGAGCGTCAGTCCAGACTCGTAGTAGCTCGTCACACTTGGCGTGGAACTCGCAATGGAACTATCGGTCATACTTTCCGTGCCCGTGTTGAAACTATGGGACTTTGATATCGGCTTCTCCACGCCACCGGGTGTCGCGTGCGTTTTGACTGCTAGAGCGTCCACTTCTTCCTCTGTACGTTGCAGCTCGAGCGTCTCCGTTGCTGCGGCTGCAAATAAACCCTGGAACGCCTCAAAGTCCACGTAGCCCTCGTCTTTGCTGTCGATCGATGCAATCAGATCGCTCAGTTCTTGGGCGTCCATCGAGTGTCGGAAGACGTTCTGAAGTCCACTCGTCGACAACCGGCCCTGGTTCGTGCTATCCAAAAGGCCAAACGCCTCTTTGATCGTCGGTAGACTCACGTCGCGCTCGTCGATTGTTGCAGCCATGAACTCTAGAAAGTTCATGCGGCCGCTCTTGGATTGATTCACCTGCTGGAAGAGCGTGTCTGCGTCCGCATCCAATAGACCGCTCTCGAGCAGAGCACTGCGGAAGTCGGGACGTGATAGTGATCCTGTCCGTGTGCGGTCGATCGCACCGAACACCTGCGCAGCCACTTGCTGCTGCACGTGGTTGTCGGCGATGCCGAGGGCGATTGCCAACAACGCCGTTTGCTTCATCTTTCGATACGTGCTGAAGCGACGCATGTTCGCTAGTAGCAGCCGTTGATCACTCTGCAGGCGAGCACGACGAGGGCTGTCCACGTGCGTTAGCTCTTCTTCGTTGAGCCAGTACGAAGCCAGTGCCTGCTTTGCTGACAGTCGCTCGTCCACGTCTTCTTTTACGAGCGACTGGATGAAAAGCACAGCGCTCGGCGAGAACTTGGCCCACAGGTCCGTCTCAAAGACCAACACGCCGTCGTAGATGTTTTCCATCGTATCGTCAATCGTCGCTCCGTGGAATGGCGACACGCCCGTGAGTAGCTCAAAGCAGATCACGCCCACGCTCCAGAGATCGCACTTTTCATTGTAGTCGCCGTCCAAGACTTCCGGCGCCACGTAGTCGATCGTTCCGACTGGTTCAATGAGCTTCTCGCGCCGCTGGAAGTGTGTGCTGAGCCCAAAGTTACACAGACGAATCGAGCCTGGATCCGCTGCGTCGGCCAGCACCAGATTCTCGAGCTTCAAGTCGCGGTGGGTGATCGAGCGAGCGTGCAAATAGACGAGTGCACGCAGCAGCGCGCGAATGACGGTGCGCACGTCGCTCTCGGTGAACGTGCGGTGCGCTCGGTATACGTGTTCGTAGAGGTCTTTGCCGTGACAGAGCTGCGTGACCAGGTACAGCTGGTCCTTGTCTTCGAACGAGCCGAGCAGTGGCACAATCTGTGGATGGTGCAGTCGCTTCAACATACTTCGTTCGTGCCACAGTGCGTCTCGGTCTCCTCGATTGCTGAGGGCAGCGACCTTGACAGCCCACGCTTGGCCCGATCGCTTGCTTACTGCGTACTTGACGCAGCCACAGTGTCCCGTGCCAATCGTCGAGCGAATGTCAAAGAACTCGCTCACGTCGTTGACGTACGTGTGCTGGATCAAGTCGGACGTGACGTCGTCTCGGTGGCTCTCGTGCTGAGCTCCTCGTGCCGTGAGAGAGACGACGGCGTCACTGGCTTTCGAGTGGCGGCAGCCCATGACACGTTCGTAGCTGTTTCGATGATGCGAAAATGTAAGTGTGCGCATGTGTGCGTATGCGGCTGGACGTGCATGTACGCATGTAAGTGGTGTACTTTGGACCGTTGCAACATGTACCTGTCAAGTTGCAGCGGGGGGGGAGAGGACACGTTTTTGACACGATATGGGTACAATCTCTTCTTGACAGAAAGGCCGGTGCGTGGGTCGCTGGAAGTCCCGCGTGGAGTTTACGTGCAGAAAAGAAAAGAGACACCAGGCTGCCGACTCGCCTTAGCCGTTGCTGCTACTTCACGCTGGTCTTAGTCCCGACAGGACGACAAATGCGTCGTCTTTTTTTTTTCGTGCGCCTCTACAGTCGTAGTGGACAAAGAAAAGTCGGACAATGGCAACAGCTTGCAACTCCTCCCTCAACCGCGTCTGTCCTTTTTTGTTCAAACGCTTTTTCGCGAGCGAAATGAAACGGCGAAACGGCGTCTAAAACCACACACTTTCTAGCTGCAGTCTATTTTGGGGTTCGCAGACAACAAAGTAGCACTTCAGCAGTGGCAAGAGTAGTACTAGTTGCAGCAATAGTAGTAGTCCTGATTAGCAGCAGTTATAGCAGTAGCAGCAGTTATAGCAGTAGCAGCAGCATGTTATAGCCGTAACACATACGTACGTACGTACGTGGGGCGGCAGATACATCGGATGCAGCACGACGACAGACGCCGTGCGTCTCCACGTACCTCTTCAGTCCCACCTCACGACGTGGCCAGAAAGTTGAATCGAAAATCGCTCGTCGTCGTCGTCGTTGCTGCTGGAGTAGCAGTAGTAGCAGTAGCAGTAGCAGTAGTAGTAGCTGCATTTAGTGCCTTGCGGCGCTGCGCTCGCTGCTTCGTTGCGGCCAAATTGCGCCGGCCCTGTCCATAGCGCAAGTGCATTGTGGCCACTTCGCTCTCTGTGCCTGTCGCCTTGCGCAGTTTCACGAACGGCGACACAGCAACCGACGAAGACAGTCGCTCCTCTTTTGGACGCGTGAGCTGACCGCAGTCCACTCGACGCAGTTGGGCGTCTGTCCTGTGCTCTTCTCGTTGCGGCACTGCATCCCTCGTCTCGCAACTCGTCCGAGCGGTCTTCTGATCCCCTGCCGAGTCGGTCGTGTCGTGCAATCGCTTCGCTCGTCGCTTTTTCGCCCTCTTGCGCGTCCGGTGGCGCGTCTTTTCCTTCGCTGTGGCCGAGAGACAAAAGTCGAACCGAAAGACCGTCGCGGCCGACTTGCAAACAGCTTCGGCGACCTCGTCCGACGTGGCTTCTTCGATCGTCTCGCCTCGGTCCTGCAACTGCTTGACGGTCGCCAGGATCCGGCGCTTCGCTTCAAAGTGCGCGGCCAGTGGAGGTCCAGCAGCGCTGTCGTCGTGCATGGGACCCGCTCGTGTGAACTCGCTTAAACTGTGTGGCTATCCTGTATACGAAGGAGTGACATGTGATTGCACGTATCCTGTGCGTGTCTGTCTGTCTGTCTGTATGAGGGTACGTATGCGTGCACGTGGGTATGTCGGAAAAAGGAGGTACACTTGTTTTTAGAAACCACTGGAGCACAGGTCACTTGTGGGATTCGTAATCAAGTCGAGCGGACGCAAGTGATCATGTCGCTCGTGTTTCTCGGGAATCCCGGTACGTCTTTCTTCCATGCGAATGACTTTGCATCGTTGTGTTATTGTGGTACTGTCCAGAGCAAAGAAGAAGGAGACGATCGAGAGAGACTCGCGCTTGCCGTCTGGAACATGCAGAGCGCTTTTTTACCATACTGTCGAAGGACTGACGACTTGTGGACTGTGGTTTGCGCTTTGCATGCGTCGAGTAGCTCTCCGTCGAGTGTCCAAGTCAGTGGCTGATGTGCGGTCCCCTGTGATTCGGAAACTACTGGACTCTCTGGAGCAAGAAGTGGTGCGTGTGTCGTCGTCGACAGTGGCTTTCGTTGCCACGACAGGTGCCTCTTGCTTGACAATAGCTGCTCATCGCACTGGAAAAACAATCGTGTTTGAATGAATGGCAGCGTCAAGAAGCTGGCATTGGCATTGCCGCACCGCAGCTCGGGCACAACTTACGCATGTTTCTTATGCTCAAGCACATGCCGGAGACTGAAGAGGACCTGAAGACGCTCGAGTACCAGAGAGTACTGAACCCGGACATTCTGGCCGTGTCGAAGACTGTCAAGCGTGACTTTGAAGGCTGTCTCAGTGTTCCTGGCTACCAAGGCATTGTCAAGCGTGCCCAGGAGATTCTCGTGCAGTACGAAGACGCGGACGGCCGCAAAGTGAAAGAAACGCTGACCGATTTTCCCGCTCGCGTGTTCCAGCACGAGTTGGACCACCTCAATGGTGTCATGTACCTCGATCGCATGGAACCCGGTAGCCTCATTCACAATGAAGAGTTCGAGACAATGGAGTGGGATGACATTCAAAAGCTGCTGCTACAGGGACCGATCGAGACGCCACTTCCGCTTGTAGCGTCAACGCCGCCGCACAGCAGCATGGACGACCGTCGAGCGAAAGAGAAGAGCATGCGCAAGAAGAAGTACTAGCCCGCACATTGTCGTCCCGAAGCGACCAGGGCATCGTGAGTACATGTGCAGAATCCTTCGCCAATCGAGCAGACACTGTCCGTCAGACAAAGTACTTGTCAGCCACTTCCCTCTGGTCTGCTGCACGGGCTCCTCCTGGCTTTGCCTTCGTTTTCGCCCATAGCACTCGACGCAACGGCCGGATGTACTTTGCAGCAAGGAGCGTCAGCGCTGTTACGAGGGCGCCACACGTTGCAGCATACCACAGTTTCGTCAACACTGGCGTCTTGTACAACGTGTATCCATTCAGGACGTTCTCGAGACACTCCATTCTCGTTGTAAGCGGCGTCATAAAAGCAGGTCCGTACTCGGCGCGAGCCACGTACGTAGCATTGCGCGGGACACTCACGGGCACGTTCAGAAACAACGCTGCGTCGTCCTGCAGCGGCAGCACTTGGTCAGACAGCAGGTACTTGCTCCGAATCGTGCGGTCGTCGTTCACGAGCCACGTGGTGCCTGTGCTGTCGTCGACTTCTTGTCGGTACAGCCAAATGTCAGCATGCGGCCCTGTAGCATCGCGCGTGTCGACAGCCACTTGCACCAGCGCGCGCGCCGCGTGGTACACGACGTGCACCGGCCGCTGGATCTCCACGAGCGCCTCGTGGTCCACGACGGCCGAGAAGTTTGCCACCGAACCAAAGCGCTGCCGAAAGTCCGTCTCGAGCATTCCGATGTCCGAGTCCGTGTCGCCCACGGGAATGCGGTGCTGCGCCCGCATCACAAACAACAACGTGCCAAACGCCGTCCAGTAGGGCACGTGATGCCGTCGACACACTGCGTACACAAAGCGCGCGAGTGCCTCTGTCTCGTCGTGGAACACACTGCTCGTGGGACAGCCGTGGGCGTAATAGAGCTCCAGCGACGCGCCAGCGACGGCAAACGTGGCGCTCAAGACGAGCAGCGGCCACAGCACCGACGGGCGCCTCACGAGCGCTCGACAGGGCGACGCGTTGTCGACGACGGCGACGGACGCGCACGACTGGGGACGCGTTGCGGCGACCAGGAGAGCGACGGGCGCGACGAGGGCCACGAGGAAGTAGTTGCAGTTGGCGAAGACGGGCGGGAGGAGGACCGTCATGGCTACACACGGATGGAGCCGTGTGGGCAGGTCAGGTGAGGTCAGGTCGACACGGTTGGCTGCTTGGGGGTGAGGCTGTCAAACATGATCAAAAGCTGCGTGGCGAGAGCACGAGTTGCGTTGTACGGGGGCGTGGGGTACGGCGGCGGTGGTTGGCTTTGAGTGTCTAAATTGATCGGACGAATTGAGCCGATATTGTCCGAGGAAGCAGCTGGTCGTCCAGTGTGCGATGGCGCAGGACTACACAGCTGAAAAGGAACAACCGCGAGCATTAATTCCTGTACCATTTGCGTCGCTCTATTGCGGGCTCGTTGGACGGACGCGGCAACTGTCGGATGTTTGTCAACGGGCGTTATACGCTGTATTGTGTCGTCGTGTGCCCGACCTATCTTTGCACACTCGCGTCCTTTCGTACTGTCCTTTTCGTGCAGAGATTGGGCATCGTGGATGACATAAAACAGCAAGTTGATCGCTTGCCTGCGCGTGCGTTGCCTGCAGTCGGTCGAGTACAAGCACAGGCGCCAGCACTCGCTTCGTGCGTGCGGCCCGATAGTTGTCCTTCAATTAGAGTTTGTGCTCTATTTTGTGTTTCTGCCGTTTCAACACACTGCAGACAGTGCTGGACGTAATGGCCGCACACGCGGTCGTCCATTTTGTACGAACGCGAATGACGCAAATACACACGTTGACGCAGTCGAACAACTCCGACCCAAACTCGCCCGAGTGCTCTCTGTCTATGCTTTCAATCACATCGACGATCAGGCACGTACATGATGTATGTCACCCATATGCAACAGTTCTACCAAAAACATTTATTATATATCACGATTAATGAATGGTCGCGTGTCCGCCTCGAGAGTCACTGGAATTGCCGGAGAGTGCGTCCGCGCGTCGCTCGCTAGACACAAGCGAGTTTCGTATCACAGCTACTGAGACAAATGGAAAAGGCTTGGAACGGAGACAGCGGCCACTGGAAATCCATCGTAAACATGTCGTCAGCGACACGGCCAAACTGCAAAATGTTGCCCATGGACGGATCTTCGCTGCTGATCAGCTGGAAGTTCTTGACCGATGCCATCGACACGCGTCCTCCAAAGTCCAGACAGTACGCGCCCAGGTCTTCGCGGAACACGGGCTCGCGGTTCGAAAATCGCATCAAGTCTTTCATGTCCCCCGTCGAGAGACGAGTGACGAGTCGGTCTTGGCGACTCATGGGCCGCACAATCTTCGATGACCCGCCCTCTTCGTCCACGTCGGGAATCACGACACGCATCTTCCGCGGCCCGACGCTCGTCCGATTCGGCTCGTACGTAACACACCCCAGCTCCTCTCGGATCTGCAGCACGTTCTGCACCACCACGTCGTCCGAGCTCACGGCGTCCTGAATCTTTGCCAGTTTCTGTGGATCTCGTCCATTGTCGTACAACGTGAAACACGTGCCGAGAAAGTTCGAGCCCATGCGTCCAATGCGCAGTGCGTCCGTGCACTCCTTGTCCGTACAGATCGTGTAGTTCGCCGTCATGTTCGAGCGCACCTGGCGTCTTGCCGCCAGCAAAAACTTGTCTTCTTCCTGCGTGCCAATCTGCCCTTGCAGGTACAGCTCGTAGCCGTACTGCTTAAACAAACCACGGTACACCTGCTTCACGTAGCACCGGATGATCCCGGCGTCCAGCGGCACCGGCTGCAGCGCCATCTTGGTCATGTCCTGGAGCTCGAGCTTCTGCATGGGCTGCAACACCAGTGGGTCACAGGCCCCTCGACACAGCGGACAGCTGCCTGACTGCCCCAGCCACGCCATAATGCACCGGTAGTGCACAAACGCACCAGTGCATTGTCCCGTGCATGGCAGTGGGTACGCTTTGCGTCGCGCCGAGAACTCGTCCATGCAGATCAGACAGCCCTCGCCGTCCTCCTCCACGAGCTCTTCGGCCGCTCTGTCGTCGGCCACTGAGTCGTTATCCCCTGCAAAAGCTGTCGCGTCCGGTACAGTCGCCTCCGTGCGGGCATCGCCCGTCTGCTCGTTGTCCAGTGCCGTCGGTGGCTCGTCTCCACTGCGACCGTGTGCCGCCGGACCGTCTCGTCTGCGCATCAGCGCCTCTGCTTGTCCACTGTCGTCCGTCTCGGCCGCTTTGCCTTCGTCGTCGTCGGTGGCGACGCGCTGCTCGGCTCGTCCAGGAGTGGCTGAAAGTACCGATGGTCGTGCGGCTTTTTGACCAATCAGCGCGCGGCGACAGGGAGACCCGGCCGCTCCCGCGCTCGGCACGGCGTCGGCGAACGCGTGCGACGAGTGGTGCACTGCTCGGGGCGACAAGTGACGGGCAGGGGGCGCACGCAGCGGTGCGGTCGTGGCGACCACCACGCGCAGGGCGTGGCGACTGCTCGGGCTCGACGTGGTCGACATGATCAATGCCTCGTTCGTGCGGGTGAGGCTGTCTGTTGGTATACTGCTCGAGAGAGGGAAGCAGAGGGAGCGGTTTGTTTTTAATATTTTGAGTTTTGCGCGCTCGCTCTCTTCCACCGTGTCTTTTTTTTCTCTTCTTCTTTTTCTTTTTCTTCTTCTTTTTCTTCTTTTGTTGTTCGGTCTTTGGGTGTAAACGACAAACGGCGGGACGCTGCCGATTGGCGGAAAAGACGAGTCACGCGACACCTTCAACCTCCACGAACAGCTTTTGCCGGAGCTGATTCGCTGCTTGTTCTGGTACAGCAACAGGATGTACACTGCCATGCGCAGAACGGCTAGAGGATGAACGCAGCAGCGTAGAAAGGTCGAAACGGTCGCGTTTGTGGTGGCGTCATATGTGGTGGGGTCCGTGCGCCTCAGTGGGCGCTGATAATGCGATCGCGAGGCTCCAAGCGTTGAACGGTAGAAAGAGCCTTTTGCGCCAGGAGGAGTCGGTAGGAACGTACCACGCTCGCAATGAGTACCGCAAGATATAGTATCAACTACACACGAGACGGTGTGTGAGGTAGATGTGATCAATTGTTGCTCAAAGAAGAGCAGATGCAGCGTGAGCAAAGAGAACGGGGGTAGCCTTCTCGTGTTACTACGTGAATCGAGACATGGCGGAGAGGTAGAGCTGTTGCACTGTTTTGACACATCAACAAGGGCCTTTGATCGTTGTTTAGCTGCTGGTTGTTTCCCACAGCACACCACGAAGCTGAGGCTAATGGAGTTGGATGGGTGGAGACGTTCTGGACTGTTCGCACACCGTCTCAATGGCAGACTCTTGACGTCCGGTAGCTCAAATTCGACATGAGTGATACGCCGCGAGCCTTCGAACTAGTCGAGATATTGTGAGGCGACGTGTCCGGAACACGCTGTGGGTCGCAGTGGACTGCAATTCCATGGAGGACTGAACAGGTTGCATTCGTGATCGTACAAGAGTGTAGTTGCCACATGAGCAAAAGGTGCATTCTCGCGTGTCGATGTCGTCCATCGTGCGAAACACTTCCAGGAATGTCGTCCGCGGTGTCTTCTGATGGTATTTGGAAGACACTGCTGGCGAAAACTGACGAGCTTCGTCGTCTTCCATGCGCACAAGTCAGTTTCTCACATGATGTACCTTCGTGATGCTCAAGACGTTCAAGATCTGTATAGCGGATCTCTTTTGCTGCAGTGGAGGCGGGCGATGTAACACGAAAGTGAAGGGTCGCAAGCTGTCTTAGCACACTGTTGACTGCTACTTTACGAACAAGCTGAAGCGAGCGCCAGTTGAGACTTGAAGGCGGCCTGTTCAATGAAGTGACCACGTCCCTGTCGTAGACAAGAAGCCCGTCACGACACGAAAAGTGGACGGAGGATCGTCCGACACAACGTCGCTGCTACCATCCCGCAGCAGCAGTTACTGTGTTGTCGCAAGACTGCTTCCAAAAGGATAGGGAATGGCTGGTCGATAGTGCTATCCCTGGTCGTGGTATCATATTTGGGTTGCGCCCACACACACTAGTGGTGCCTTTCGTATATGATCCCTACCTGTTATTCATGAAAAGATGTCGATGCGGTCGCGCTGAAACCTGCTCATTTTGCGCTATCTTTGGGCTGTGCACCGACACCTCTCACTC